AACTTTTAAACTGTTTTTAGAAATAAGTTTGAATTCCAAAAAAGGTTGAATTAAGGAATAGATAAAAAAAAAATCTGCTTTTCTAAGGTTACTGTTCAAAAGTATAAATACCGGATATTGAATATAATATGTGCATTTCCAATGAAAACTTCATTAAATGTGGTCAAAAAACTTATCATAAAGGGTTATTTATTTCTACTTTTACATTCAGAATTGTAATTAAGGTAAAACCTGCTGACAACGATGGTAGGGTTTTCCATTTCCACACTTAAAGCGACAGAAACCAGACTTCGAAACTGAGATGTATCCAGAGGTGTAACGGATGCACTGATGTTGAACTTCGGCTCTACAAACGTAAATGTATGGGCTGCCTTCTTGCTTTGCGGAAATCGCAACATTGTATATTTTTAACTTTTCATTTATTTCTTGCCTGAAGAACTTATCAAATATATCACGAAGAGAGAGAGAGAGAGAGAATTCCGGTGTAACAAACAATCCAATAGCACATAAATTATTAAATACATTTTTCTCCTGGATCTGAACGATGCTGCTCTTGATGTCAGTTTCAGTTTTGGATCGCAAAAAAACAGTAAAGGGAGGAACTGTTTTAGAGGAAGACGTGGTTAGTAACCATGCCATCATCTAGACAAAAACAAAAAGATTGAATACATTTACATAGGGAAGGTATGATTCTGTTTTAGAGGTACATGATACTCAGTAAATCTTCTTTTCAAACACTTTACGATTTCTTTCTTTATAGAAACTTTGCAGCACAGTTAAGGCTACATAAAGGGGATGGGCCTAATTTATACGGGAAATGTATACTGTGACATCACACAAAAATAGCAATTCCTTACAATGAGGGAAAATGAAATAATTTGCGATTTTAAACTGCATAATGCGTAATGAACTACATCAACACTTACCACTGCATTCATCTTTGTCGCTAGTTAAATCCCACACAGCAGGATATAAACAAGTCATTGATGGCAATGCACTTGTCGACATGACGTCATCATGGTTAAACCTGCCGCATTTTATGTGCAGTAAAAGGCTGATCAAGTAATTTTTTCACAGTGAAAATGCATATTATAATTAAACAGAATATTCTTTACAAATGTTAGGTAGACCATTAATACAAATCTAAAACATTTGTTTAGTGCCATTATTAAAACTATCGAGAGAATGTATTGAATTAATTCTACCGTGTTTTTGCGTACAGGGTTTGCATGTTTAACGCCGAGGTGCCTCACTAAATCGCCTTAGCACAAGGACATACACTTAATAAATCTTTACCAATTCTTGATATACATAAAGGAAATATTCCTTAACTTGAGAAGTGCTGCTGCTTTCCTGAAATCGAGAGCATTACTTAACTAGTGCGAATTGTAACGGGAACCGTTACAGATGTTCCCAAAACGACTCCCCAATCCCTTTTGATGCTCCATTCCCTACAAGCTTTAATAAATTAGACAATACTTTTGTAATATAGATGGACACTTTATTTTTAAGGGTATTTCATTGGAAAACTACTTCGATATAGCCATATGGGTATTAGCCAATCAAATTTCAGCGCATGTGCTTGCACATGTTTTCTACATTTTTCACATTAATTTTCTCATAGTGTCTCACAATACATACATTTGTGTTACATATTAAAGAATCTCATTGAAAAATAAGAGAGATGTAACCCTTTAAAAATAAGCCAATCAAAATTCAGCATACGCGCACGCATGGCCTTGGATTCAATTTTGAAAGTATTATTATGTAGGAGCTCTATGTGCCTATCCATGTCGTAAATTTCATCCTGTTTTGTTGAAAACCAAAGGAGTTATAGACATTTAAAGTTTCAACCAATCAGATTGCAGCACACCTGCATGCGCGTATTTTCAAAAAATTTCCTATATAACATGTTGTAGCACCTAATAATATATACTTATACTCTAAATTTCAAAGTATTTTGTCAAGAAACAAGGAAATTATTGAGACTTTTGTATCAGCCAATCAGGGAAGAGCGCACGTGCATGCGCTTGAGTTCACACTTATTTGACCATGTTATCGTGTCTAGACTACTGTCAAATAATGACCTTGCGTAGAGAATAGTGATCCAAACTCCCCTAAATAAGTAACAGAAAATCTTTTCTACATTTTAACTTTACATTTTAATTAACAAAATAATATTATACAACAAAATAAACTGGTTTGGTGTGTGGTCGTCCGTGTCCCTAGAATGTCTACTACGTCTATGGTTTTGTTCCACACGGTGTTTAGGCTACACTACAGTCTCTTGCCGCTAATGAGGCTCAGACACCCCTCTCCAGTGCCGAGAAAGGTTTACACTCCCTCCTCTCCAGTGCCGAGGAGGTTACACGTCCGTCTTGCGTTCAAGACTATGAGATGTGACTGGTACCGTCCGCCATCTCTACACTACTATACAGGAATGAGACCTGTTAAATATCATACACAGAATAAAATAGACATACAAATTACTCCATGAGTACAATATGTGCAACGCAATAAATGCTTTACTATACAACAGTTATTACAGAACGTAGAATCGACAAATAAAGAAACAAACAATCCACCGTACAATTAAGACTCAAACATTTTCGAGTAACTATAAATAACAGAACTTAAAAATATCAAATGGAATAGCTTAAAGTTGCATATTTTAGAAATTCCGTATCTGGGTGTTTTAAGATATTTACAACTTTATAAAATATTAAAAACAAACACGAATAAGGCTTACCTCAGAGAAGCAGGACCATACAACTAAATTCTAAACAAGTAAAACCCTCAGTGATCTGCCATGTCTCCCAGGACTGCCGTGTCCAAACTGAAGCACGGGCTTACAAATATTTTAAAGGTCCGGTGATTTGAGGTATAAAACAGGGTAACATAAACCCGGTGAAAAATGGAGGCTCCCCACAGGTAAATATAACTTGCTTGCGTGTTAGATTAGGAACATGTAGATTTTAATGTGACAAGGAAATTATTGAGACTTTTGTATCAGCCAATCAGAGAAGAGCGCACGTGCATGCGCGTGAGTTCACACTTATTTTACCATGTTATCGTGTCTAGACTACTAATATATCTTTATATTTTGAGTTTCAAAGCAATTCATCAAGAAATATGAAAGTTACGGCTTCATCAAGTATATCAGTCATTGCACGCGCGCGCACGTGCATGCATGTGCGCGCAAAATGACCTTCGCTCCGAACACCTACACAACATGCCTATTAACCCTAAAAAGGGTTCATGTCAATCGGATGAGTGGTTTTATGAGAACACTAATAATAAGAAGAAGAAGAAGAAGAAGAAACAGAGTAAAAACAATATGTTCCCAAACTTCGTTTGAGGAACATAATGAATACATGAAACACTTAGTAAAGGTCACACAGACTTCAACTAGCGTCGAATAACTTGAAATTTAAACTAATAAAATGCAAATTATATTTAAAGCAGCAGCACGTTCAAGAAACTATAAGTTATGCAGAAACAAGTTATCACTTTAATTTTTTATTTTATGTAGGGTATGTCCTTGCGATATTAAAATTTGTTCATGACCTACAAACAGTACACATTATATGCATTTATCACGTGACTCTAAAATAACATTACCGAATCAAACTCAATTCAGAGTGGGGTGAACAATGCTATTTCAATTAATATTAAAGTCATGTGACAATGTAACAGCTTTACGAAAATAAATTCAGTTTAAAATGATATGTATTTGTGCACTTTTAAATTCCGTTGATTTCTTCGTAGTGCGACTTAACAGTGCTGCGTTGATCATGTCTTCAAGAATTCAGGTTGAAAAAATGAAAAAAAAAAAACTTTAATGATTTTATTCCATTAAATGCAATATTATTAAATAAACTAGTTTGACTCAAACAAACATAGAAATATGCTGCTCAAATTTTAGATTTTATATCAATATTAATATTCAATAAAACGCTAATTAGAAAGGTTGCATATTTCAGAAAATCTTGATATACAATATATAACCTAGAGGTATTTCTCGTTTCATGATGCAGTGTGACCTATTCTGAGTCCCATAAGTGAAGCACATGTAAAAACCGTATTTTGTATAATCGACGGGGAAAAGGAACGCTCGTGTTTCCAATCTTTAAGCTGTAGATACCTGGAGTCGTCTTACCGGTTCAATTGTGTTCAATGGATCCATACAGATGACAATGTCAGACTCGTGATCATTGAGCAGGGACAAGAAGTGTACAGCATACTCAGCTGTTGGATACTGGGTTACAATAAACGCTCTACTCTTGGTAAATGACTACGGAAATTACAGGAAAAGAAACAAAAAAAAAAGAACTTTTTAACATAGAAATGTGATCAACAGGTACACCAACATGGAATTTTATGAATTAATTACTACAATCTGTCGAGAAAGTATATCTAGAAGACAATACTAATCTGTAATCACCCCGACCTTGCTGTTCTGCTAGAAACTTAAGCTTATCACCTTCAAGTAACCTGTTTTATGTATCTTCATTTCATATCACAAGAAAGAATTTTAATGATTTTCTCCAGTATAAATTGTCAGTGTAAAAACTGTATATGGACAAATAGCATTACCAGTTTAGTTGTAATTTGTCAACGAAAATTGACAATAAATCTGTACAAAATGACAATATTCAGAATCAAAAGTGGCGGCCGCTGTCGGCCATCGTAGAAAAGCAATATGTCTGCACAATATGACAGAAAAATGTTTAGGAGAAAGTTTCTATTGAAAAGGAAAGAGTATTGGTATTTTAAGGTAGTTAAAAATCATAAGATGGTTTTTCATTTCGTAATGAAATTTTAGTTGCTTTATAGATGTGGAATTCAGCATAAATATTATCAAGCATTTAATATATTATAAAAATATCTCAAAACGCAAGCAGTGATAACATAACAATAAAAAAAATTACAAGAAAATAAGAAAATCAAGAATAGGAAACGTAATTTTATAAGCTAAATGTTTGCTTTCTTTAGGTTGTTCAAGATAATGTACATCATAAATAGAAAAGAAATGTTACTTAAAATGAATACTCCTCTGTAAATTGATTCCGGGAATCTGATTTTCATTAAAAGTAATTTAGCGGTGATAAATATATATATCATGATATCATTTCTTTGTCTCTGGCTCCTTTATTGATTAGAATACATGTTTTCAGTGCTTCTTTGTATGTGATCATTTACTGCTTTGTTGACTAGACGATACTCATCCTGAAAACCAAAAAAAATGTTTATTTCTTTTATACAACACTAATCATTTCAACAAATAAAAGCTTTTTTTGTGTGAAATTGTGTGTGTGTGTTTTTTTTTTCTTTTGGTCAAACTAACCATACAATAGCGACAATTTATTTATATTTGTTATCAGTTCCATTTGACTTGATTTGGATAAGCAATAACTGTGTAAAAGTCTTGCAAGAATGATTTCTTGTTAACCTGAACTAAAAGCTGAAGTGAACCTTTCTGATCACATTTTACTCATCGTCCATCTGTTCGTCTGTCTGTGTATCTTACAAGGAATAATTAGGATTTCTTTTGCAAAACACTTCTTCTTAAGAAAACCAAACCAATGATTTGTCATGTTTAAATGGAAGAATACTCAGATAGTGCAGATTCATTTTTATTGAATTTATGACCCCAGGGGTGGTTAGGACCAATTTTTGCTCAAATTTTATAAAATAAACAATTTCAAGAAAAGAAAGCCATGATTAGTCGTAATTATATGGAAGCATCCTTAAGTATTGTAAATTCAAGACTGTTCACGGGGTATGGTTGGGCCACAGTGGCTGATCAACGTTTTACATAGTAAAAAATAAGGAAAATCTTTAAAAAAGCATCTTGTCATGAAGAGCAAAGTCATGATTATTCATATTTATATGGAAGCTTCCTCTAGTGTTGACAGTTTATCATCATTTGTTCACATCATTACCCCTGGGGTAGGATGATGCCACAATGGTGACAAATGTATTTCATAGCATTCATAGGAAAAAGAGTCTTAAAAAATATCCTTTAAAGAACAACAAAGTCATTGAAGTCATATTTTTGATGGAGGGGCGGGGCTACAATATGTTATAAAATTTTTACATTGGAATAGATAGGGGAAACAAGATGTGTTTGTGAAACACCGATGCCCCCGTAGGGCAACTTATAGCAAAGGTTAAACTTTCTCAAATGTAAATCAAATAGTTAGTACCCAAAGTAAGGTCTTGTGTCGAGAAATATACCTGTGAAATATGAGAGCCCTAGCACCAACCATTGAATAGATATGGAAAAGGTTAAAGTTTTTTTTTCAAAAGTAAGTCAAACATCCAGGTCAAGGTTAAAGGCCTTCTCAGAAGAAATATACAGGTAAAATATGAATGCTGAAGCAATAATCGTTCAAAAGTTATGACCAAGGTTTAAGTTTTTCAAAAGAAGGTCAAAGTACAAGGTCAAAGTCAATGGATTACAATTGTTGGTATCCAAAGAAAGGTCTTGTCACAAGGATAACATGTGTGAAGTATGAAGGCCCTAGCTGCAACGGATCAAAAGTTATGGCCAAGGTCAAAGTTTTTCAAAAGTAGGTCAATCTTCAAGGTCAAAGGGTCAAAGTTGTTGGTATCCAAAGGAAGGGCTTGTCACAAGGATTACATATGTGAAGTATGGAAGCCTTAGCACCAAACATTCAAAAGTTATGGCCAAGGTTAAAGTTTTTAAAAAGTAGGTCAAACTCCAAGGTCAAGGTCAAAGGGTCAAAGCTGTTGGTATCCAAAGAAAGGTCTTTTCACAAGGATAACATATGTGAAGTATGAAAGTCCTCGCTACAACGGTTCAAAAGTTATGGCCTAGGTCATTTTTTTAAAAGTAGGTCAATCTCCAAGGTCAAGGTCAAAGGATCAAATTTGTTGGTATCCAAGGAAAGGTCTTGTCAAATGTGAAGTATGAAAGCCCCAGCACCAATTGTTCAAAAGTTATGGCCAAGGTTAAAGTTGGATAAAATTTTGAAAAACTGGGTCAAACTCCAAGGTCAAGGTCAAAAGGCCAAGAATGGTGGTATCCAAAGAAAGGTCTAGTCACAAGAAATACACATGTGATATATGAAAATCATAGCTCCAACCAAGCAAAAGTTATGGGCAATGATAAAGTTTTTGCGGACAAACAGACAGACAAACATACAAACAGACAGACAGACAGACGGACGGACAGGGCAAAAACTATATAACCCCGAATGTTCGATACGGGGGCATAGAAATCTACTGTTGAAGAACAGGTTTATAGTTACTCAAGTGAGCCGTGTTGCCCATTGGCCTCTTGTTTTTTTTAAGGACATTTATTTTTATCTTGGAAAGATTTTTATCGAATTATATACAAGGATCAAGGAAATTATATTAATTCATTTCTTAATTATATTTGATACTTGATTTAGTGCGATAATTTAGAATAACGGTAATGTTAAGGTACGAGTCATATTGTTTTGTATTTCAGGACCAAATTTTCACGAAAACAAGTAAAAGAAAAAAAAAAAGATTTTCAAATCGTGTGTAAATATTGTTAATTACAAGTAAATATATTTTGAAAAGTACTGAGTCAGATTTAAACTCTCGACTTTAAAAATTCCTCTCAATGAGCTATAACAATGTCTTTTGCAATGTAGGAATTAAATCTAATGTTCTTTGCTCACGTAAGGTAGTACACAATAATTGAAATTTCATTATGACTTACAAGACTGGAGCAAAACTCCGGCCTTCGAACTTGCAGTTGTCTGACGGATGTAAAAACATCTACATTGTCATCCATGTTGATTTGTTGTATCACGTTATGTACTGCACAAAGGGCGCCACAAAGGGAAGCTCCATCACTACCAGAAACATACCAGATGACATCATGCATTTATTGCATTCAAAATAAACATTTAAACTGGTCTTAGAGATAAGTTTGAATTTCAAATAAGATTGAATTATGTAAAGGATAAAAAAAAATAGTCTGCCCTTCTGAGATTACTGTTCAAAGGTATACATACCGGATATTGAATATAATATGTACATTTCCACTTGCGACATTGAATGTGGTAAATAACTTATCATAAAAGGTTTTTCATTTGTAATTGTACATATAAAATGTACTAAAGGTGAAACCTGCTGACAATGACGACAGGATTTTCTGTCTCCACACCAAGAGCGACCGAAACCAGATTTCGAAGTTGAGAACTATCCAGAGGTGTTCCGGATGCATTGATGTTGAATTTCGGCTCTACAAACGTAACTTTACGGGCCACTATCTTGCTCTACGGCAATAAAAACATTACATATTTATAACTTTTCATTCATTTCTTGCCTGAAGATCTAATCAAATATATCACAAAGAGAGAGAGAGAGAGAGAGAGAGAGAGAGAGAGAGAGAGAGAATTCTGGTGTAGCACACAATCCAATTGCACACAGATTGGTTAAATACATTTTTCTGCTGGATCTGAAAGATGCTGCTCTTGACATCAGTTTCAGTTTTGGATTTAAAATAAACAATAAAGGGAGGAACTGTTGTAGAGGAAGACGTGGTTGGTAACCATGCCATCATCTAGACAAAAACAAAAAGATTGAATATATTTACATGTACATAGGGTAGGTATTTTTAGAGGTACATGATAATCAGTAATCTCCTTTTCGAACACTTTACGATTTCTTTCTTTATGGAAACTTGATCATGTCTTTAAGTATTTAGGTTGAAAAAAAGAACAAAATTTAATTTGGGATTTTATACCATTCAGTGCAATATTAACAGATAAACTAGTTCTCAACTCATACAAAGAAACATGCTGCTCAAATTTTAGATTTTATGTCTATATTAATATTCAATAAATCGCTAATTAAAAAGGTCGCATATTTCAGACAATCTTGATATACAATATACAACCTAGAGATATTTCTCGTTTCATGATATAGTGCGGTCTATTCTGAGTCCTGTATGTGAAGCGCGGGCAAAACAGGGAAAACATGTATTTTTGTATATTCGTTCAGGAAGGGGATCGTTCGTCTTTTCAATCTTTCAGCTGTAAATACGTGGGATCGTCTTACCGGTTCAATTGTGTTCAATGGATCCATACAGATGACAATGTCAGACTCGTGATCATTGATCAGGGACAAGAATTGTACAGCATCCTCAGCTGTTGCATACTGCGTTGCAATAAACGCTCTACTCTTAGTAAACGACTACAAAAATTACAGGAAAAAAAATTACGATAGGAATGTAAATTTTCCATGAGCTGGAAACAAAATTTCTTACATGAAACACAGATTTGCTATTGATTACAAGAAAAAAAAAATGTTTTATTAGCCAATAGAAATGCATGAGACAAATTTACTTGTAGACATATGATAGAAATAGTCGATATGGTGAATTGGCTGTCATTTCTTACCGGAACATATAGAGCATTGATGAAGTTTCCTCCATTCGGAACCATATTTGAAAGGTGAACACAGTATTTATCCACTATTCAAAAGAGGTAAAATGAATCTAACTTGTTTTTGTTAAAATTTCAATGAAAATTTCTAACAGAATCAAAGGTGTATTACGTTTAATGATAAACTTTGAATTTAATCTTATTTAAATCTTGCAAAGAGGATGGAGATATGGTTTATGTCTTAAATTGAAACATAATATTCATAATATATTGCAGAATTTATACTTACAAGGTAATAAACCTGTAGAACTTCCATCTGTACAATTTTCCTTGGCTATTTTATAATCAGCATCAGTGTATACAGGTCGTATCTTCATCAACATCTGCATATTCAAGCAAATAATCGTATTTATTAATAACATGCTATTACAGAAGAAACACTGATATTAGCATAACAGCGGATGGATGGTTTTAAGAAGTTTCTGAGCTTATGAACAAGGTATGAAAGGGTGTTTGAAAACAAGAGGCCCAAGGGCCTTAACGGTCACCTGAGTATAATACAACAATTTAGAAGTTAAATACACTGATAGTTGAAGCTTTGTTGCCCTAAAGCAAGAGAAGTAGGAAGATCAGGATCAACAAAATAATTAGTCTAGTATTCAGTATCAACTCATAAATTAATTTCTAATCTGTCCCCCACTTAACACTATGCAGACTATTAACAAACTATTAGTGCTTCTGTACTATTTTTAAACCCATATTAAGACCTCTAGCATTGACTTCTCTTATGGTCTTTGAAGAACTTTTAATAAGATAAGTTGTTTTTGTCTCATTTTTATTTATCTATTACTTACAGGTCTATCTGTTTATTAAAACTAAGAAAGTACTTTTTTAATTATACGATAAACATTCTTGCATAATTATCTTATTCTATTAACCTTTCAAATACATTATTTACAGTGATTAATTATCAAAGGTGAATGGAAAAGGGGAATAACTTCTCTCAGTAGAATACAAATTAATAGAGCCCTGCCCAGGACCAGAATGCTTAGACCAATGGTCCAGATGTTTAAAAATCTGATAAAAATATGCTTACTCATATCATTTAAACTTTTACTCAGTTTGCTTCCAATATGCCCAGAAGCAGAGAAGAATTTCACAGGTACAATGCATTTTCACTACAGATTCAACAAAGCCTTACCCTAACACCAGAACCCAAGACCAAGGGTCAAGAAATTTACAAATTTGGAAGAGTTACCCTCATCATCATAACTATGGACTTCAAAGAATTAACACTTTTCCACTATATTATCAAAAGCCCCCCCCCCCCCTCGTTATGCCAGAACCCCTGACCCTAGGACCACAAGATTTAAAAATTCTGTTCGAAGCTCCCATTTTCATCATAGCTACGCAATTTATTTATCAGCTCAACACTAAGGAGCAGACAGGATTAATTAATGATTAATAGAATTAATGCCTTTTCACTAGAGCAATAATCAATAATCAATAGAGCCCCCCCCCCCCCGCCCCTCCTCAAGAACCCCAAAAACTGAGGCCATATATTTAAAAATTTTGGAAGAGGCATCCTTGTCTATCATAATCATGCACTTAGTTTGTTTATATAATCTCCAGTAGCAGAGAAGAAGATTCTCAAAGAATCAATGCATTTTCACTATATAATCAATAGAGTCCCGCCCTAACACCAGAACCCCTGACCCTGGGGTCAAGAAATTCACAATTTTTGAAGAGGCATCCTTATGCATTATAACCATGTACTTAGTTTTTTTAAATAATACCCAGGAGCAGAGAAGAAGACTTTCAAAGAATTAAAGCATTTTCACTATATAATCAATAGAGCCCCGCCCTAACACCAGAACCCCTGTCCCAGGGGCCATGGCTTTCACAATTCTGGCAGAGGCCCACCTCCTCATCTTAACTATGTACTTAGTTTATCACCTTATTGCCCAGAAGCAGAGAAGAAAATTTTCAAAGAATTAATGCATTTTCACTATATAATCTATAGAGCCCCGCCCTAACACCAGAACCCCTGACCCTGGGGCCATGAAATTCACAATTTTTGAAAAGACACTTTTGCTCATCATAACTATGTACTTAGTTACTTTATTTAATACCCAGGAGCAAAGAAGAAGATTTTCAAAGAATTAATGCTTTTTCACTATATAATATATAGAGCCCCGCCCTAACACCAGAACCCCTGACCCTGGGGCCATGAATTTCACAATTTTGGAAGAGGCACTCTTTCTCATCATAACTATGTACTTAGTTCCTTTATTTAATACCCAGGAGCAGAGAAGAAGATTTTCAAAGAAATAATGCATTTTCACTATATAATCTATAGAGCCCCGCCCTAACACCAGAACCCCTGACCCTGGGGCCATGAATTTCACAATTTTGGAAGAGGCACTCTTGCTCATCATAACTATGTACTTAGTAACTTTATTTAATACCCAGGAGCAGAGAAGAAGATTTTCAAAAAATTATTCACTTTCACTATATAATCTATATAGCCCCACCCTGGGGCCAGAATCCCTGACCCTGGGGCCATGAATTTCACAATTTTGGTAGAGGGCTCCATGCTTATTACAATGATGCCAACAGTTTGACTGCTTGATGTCCAGTATTAAAGAAGAAGATTTTTAAAGATTGCATTAATTTTGGTGGTTTTAGCCCCACCCCTCAGGCCCCAGGGGGGCAGGGATCATGAAATTAACAATTTATGTTCCCATTCACCCATAGATGCTATATACAAAATTTGGTTGAAATTGGTTCAGCGGTTCTAGAGAAGAAGTTAAAAATGTTAAAAGTTAACGCACGACGGACGACGCACGACGACGGACAAAAACAGATAGCAATAGGTCACCTGAGTGACTCAGGTGACCTAAAAAAAAAAGAAAAAAAATCTGAAAGAATTTAAACTTCGACTGGTTTAAAATATTTGAAATTTAATTATTCAACTTCAGTATTGGAAAAATAGTTTTGAACCAACAAATAAAAAAGAACAGAGATAAGGGTTTTTTTTTTCTATTAAAGTGTAATAAAAAAAAAAAAAAAACGTTCCTCTATGCTTTAAGTTAAGTAAATAGATATTTGTAGCCGAGGTCTATTTATCAGCCCTTATTGTTCAGGCTGAGTGCAATATGGGTCTTTACACTTTATATACGATCAGATTTATTAAAGTTTTAAATACTATAGCTGATTAACGTTTTAATGCTGCAGAGACATAATAACATAACTTGATCAATATCATTGTTTAATCAATGTGACCAGTCATTTGTACCTCAATTAAATCATTATCACATTCATTTTCTCGACATAAATACCTGGAATTCTTTGCGTAACATATTCTGATTGGCTGGTATGTCAGTTTCCAGGGCTGCTATCTTTTTGGTAAAGTCTTCAAGCGTGATGATTTTAACTGGGGATTTAATTACTTCATTCAAAGCAAGATAAATCGTCATGTACTGTTCCTGAATTTGAAACAAAAAAATATTGGATTACTGTCAATTGCACTTAAGAAGACATTTTTTCTTCGTCATATCAATAACCCAACTGAAATAAATTAAAAGCACTAAAATTTATTTGCTATAGATATATTTTCCATTTTTGGAATTTATTTTTTCTACTTGAGGAATCTTTTAAGTAAAACTTGAATATACAAGAACAGATTACCATCGATTCATTCAATACCTATAGGCTTGCTATGCCTCTCTTTTCTATATGTTTATTTTTAATATATTTCCAGTAAAATAGTAACCATCGATTTTTATCCAAAAAAAATATGCACTGGGCTGACATTTTCAGCAAATGTTGATGTATCGTATTTAAGGTATGTCACTTCTAACAGGGATTACACCAAGGATTTTTTTGAAAAGTACATTTTATATAAATATTCATATAACATGAATTAAAACGCATAGAAAATTCTGGGACCTGTATGCATCTTACTGAGCAACGGTAAAATTAATTTGACCTTTAAGCACTTAAAAATTGTAACTTCCAGGGTTAATCCCTTTAACCTTTATCATATTTCATCAGATGTAATTATGGCAATAAATATTTATTTTATGTAAAATAGTCTGAATAATGTTTATTATTGAAATAAATTTTGCAAATTAATGGGTGTAAATTATTGTGTGACCTTTTTGCACTAAAAAAATGCATAGTTGGAGTATTAAATCTAAAGTGGCAATTAAAGATTTACTTATATCAAGATTTTTTATTACTTTACTACTGTGCGGGTAGTTAAAATGATGACAAAAAAGTTATCTGTTCTGGAAAATTGGTGAAAATATGAAATTTTCAGGAAAAAAAGGATTTTATATATCTTGAATCGTAGATGTATTTTCATTTCTGGGCAAAGATTGTTGATCGAATGTGTAAAATTTGTTTTCAAAATACCAATTGATACCTATATTTGATATTTGTAGCATATCATAACGCAAAAAGTCGATTTTGTCATTGTGAAGCATTTATCATGATATAATTCCCTGCCTTAGAGCTAGATTAAACTCGGTCTTACTTAATTGTAAGATCGGTATTTGAATTTCGTAACTATTTGATTGGTATCGTCCATAGAATGTAATTCTCTTTTAACTTTATTATATGGTGATTGACAGAACCAGACTCAAACTTGAACGTAGAGTACCGATTGGTAGAGGGTATGTAGTGTTCCTGAACAAAGATTCTGAACTAGCTGGTTAAGGAATAGCAATCTTTATAATATTCTTCAACGTATCTTCAATTCATTTCTGGGCAAAATTTGCTGAAGGAATGTGTAAAATTTGTCTTCAAAATATTAACTGAAACATTTATTTGATATCCCTAGATTTTCATAACGAAATCTCTGAGTAAAAATATGTATGGCTAAAATCCCAAGATATGGAATTTAAGAAATGTATTTAAGCATTGAATTTCTATTATTGGATATCGTGGTCCGACAAATTGAATACCGCGCGTTAACACTTACATTAATTGTAATAACTAGTTTCGAAGTTAAAGATTCTGACAAAACTTTTTCCAAAAACTGAGGAATGACATACCTTAAGTACATCTTAACATTTTTGATAAGTTATAGACAAAAAAAAAAAAAAAAAAAAAAAAAAAAAAAAATGAATATTTCATTTTATTTAAATGTGTACACGGTATACATGTAGTCCTACAGCGCTTGGCCAATCCTTCAGGGTTTTATCAGGGGATATTGGAGTATTGTTTCTTAATAAAAGTATTATATAAGTAAGGTTTTGGTAAAATCATACTTTTAATTCACTATTATGTCGTCTTTTGGAAAATTTAAAAGCATTTGCTTAATTTTTGACAGTTCCTTTAACAGTTGAAATGAGAAAGCGGTCAACACAATACACGAAAAAAAATACAGACAACTTTCATAGTCTTTTACTCTCTTTCGGAGAAAATGAGCTATTTTTTAATAACAGAATTCAATTGTTAACGAATGAATAAAGTCAGTAGTAAAAAAAAAAAAAATAAATAAATAAATAAATAAATAAATTTAAAACCAATTAACAGAAATAAAAGAATTATTTAGTATATAAGTAAAAGAAGATAAAAAGAAACGTACGTAGGTTTGGACCATATTCATCCTGCTTTCTCTCATCTTTTTGACAAATTCTGCTACGTTTACTTTCTTTTTCTTTCGTCCAATCTCCTCTAAAGCGTCCAACGCTACATATGTCCCTGTTCTACCTATTCCTGCACTTAAGTTATCATAATAAATACATATCATCAGATAATAAATTTAACAATGATAAAAAAATCTATATATCTATCTATCTATCTATCTATCTATCTATCTATCTATCTATCTATCTATCTATCTATCTATCTATCTATCTATCTATCTATATATATATATATATATAAATATGAAAAATATTCAAACACATAAAAACACAGAGAACAAATAAAACATAAGCGCTTTCACCACTGTGATTTTTCTTGGATTTATATATATATATATATATATATATATATATATATATATATATATATATATATATATATATATATATATATATATATATATATATATATATATATATATATATATATGGTAATAATTTTTTTTTAGGTCACATGAGTTTACTCAGGTGACCTATTGCTATCCGTTTTCGTCGGTCGTCATGCGTCGTGCGTTAACATTTGAACATTTTCAGCTTCTATTATAAAACCGCTCAACCAATTTCAACCAATTTTGGAATATAGCATCTATGGATGAAGGGGAACAAAACTCTGAATTTCATGGTCCCTGCCCCCCTGGGGCCTGAGGGGTGGGGGCAAAACCACTAAAACTAATGCAATCTTTAAAAATCTTCTTCTTAACTCCTGGACATCAAGCAGTCAGACTGTTGGCATGATTGTAATAAGCATTGAGCCCTCTACCAAAATTCATGGCCCCAGGGTCAGGGGTTCTGGTGCTAGGGTGGGGCTATATAGATACTATAGTGAAAGTGTATTATTTCTTTGAAAATCTTCTTCTCTGCTTCTGGGTATTAAATATACTAACTAAGTAGATAGTTATAAAGACCAAGAGTGCCTCTTCCAAAATTGTGAATTTCATGGCCTGAAGGTCAGGGGTTCTGGTGTAAGGGCGGGGCTCTATTGATTATATAGTGAAAATGCATTAATTCTTTAAAAATCTTCTTTTCTGCACCTGTGTATTAAATAAACTAAGTACATAGTTATGATGAGCAAGAGTGCCTCTTCTAAAATTGTGAATTACATGGCCCCAGGGTCAGGGGTTCAGGTGTTAGGGCGGGGCTCTATTGATTATATAGTGAAAATACATTAATTCATTGAAAATCCTCTCTGCTCCTGGGTATTAAATAAACTAAGAACATAGTTTTGGTGAGCATGGCTGCCTTTTCAGAAATTGTGAATTTCATGACCCTGGGTTGGGGGTTCTGGTGTTAGGGCGGGGCTCTATTGATTATACAGGGGAAATGCATAAATTCTCTCGGAATCTTCTTCTCTGTTCCTGGGTAGCTTTCAAACAAAGGAAGTGCATGGTTATGATGAGGAAGAATGCCTCTTCCAAAATCGTGAAGTTCGTGGCCCCTGGGTGAGGAGTTCTGGTGAAAGGGGGGGGGGGGTGCTTTACTGATTTTATAGTGAAAATGTATAATTTCTTTTAAAATATTTTTTTTTCTAATACTGGTTATAAAGTAAAGAAACAAGTGTATAGTTATGATGAGCAAGGGTGCTTCTTCCAGAGTTGTGAGCTCATGGCCAATGGGTCAGATGTTCTGATGTAAGGATGGGGCTTTATTTATTTAATAATATAGTGAAAATGCATATCTTTGAAAATCTTCTATGCTTCTGGGCATATTCGAGGCAAACGGAGTAAAATTTTAATATGCAAGGGCATTTTTACCAGAATATTGAACACCTTGACCATTTAGTCAAATGTTGTGGTCCCGGCCAGGGCTCTATTAACTTGTATTCTGCTGAGCAAAGTTATTCCCCTTTGCCATTCACCTTTGATAATTAATCACTGTAAATAATGTATTTGAAAGGTTAAGAAAATAAAAGAATTATGCAAGAGTATTTATTGTATAATACAAAAAGTACTTTCATAGTTCTAATGATCAGGTAGGCTTGGAAATAATAGACGAATAAAAATGAGTCAAAAATAACTTATCTTTTGAAATGTTCTTCAAAGCCCAAGAGAGACCAATGTGAGAAGTAATAATATGGGGTTAAAAAATAGACATTTTGTTAATAGTCTGCATGGTAATAGTGATAAATGGGGGACAGATAGATACTAGACCAATTATTTTGTTGATGCTAATCATGCTATTTTTCTTGCTTTTGGGCAACAAACCTTCATTTATCAGTTGATGGATCCTCTAAATTGTTGTATTGTACTCATGTGACCGTTAAGGCCCTTGGGCCTCTTGTTTATTTTCAGAATCGTAATTCTGAAAGGCAATAGCTAATACATTGACTTAATAAAATTAATTGAAATAATAAATAGATAAATAATGAACATTTGACTGGGTCTCTCTCTCTCTCTTGCGTGATTTTAACTTAAAGTTATGTTGATACAAAATAAAAAAAAGCAAAGAACTTATTTTGGGCCAATTTACTTTCATTTTTTTCTTTTCGATCTTTGATTTCATTTGAATATTTAGTGTTCAAATGTACCTGCAGTGTACAACTGTTGGAAAGTTATTCTGAATGGTCCCTGACCTGGTCACGTGATCAAGGAAGACAACAAGATAGAGAGGTTCCGGGGTTCCATGGTCTGGCCACGCCGTGTAATGGTGTTGAGTCACCGTTCGTAATTTCTTTGAATTCAATTAAGAATGATTAAATTTTGTTTCGCAAATTGGAGTGCAGATGCAATAGAGGTGAATACGAATTGAATATGTGCTTTTGTACATAGTAAATGTCAATATAATTCCCAAGAGAACTTATAACATTGACCTGAGTTTTGAGATTCGTTGACACATAAATCCAGTATAATAAAAGTATAAGAATGAATGTAAAAAAAAAAAATAAGGGATGTGGACATACATTTTGATTGTTTAAGGATTGTTTGAGGGTTTCATATTACTATAACCTACCTCATTATGACTCACAGACATCTTTCGTAAAATGTAGAATGCATACTCCTTTTCCTCCGTCATTTTCACAGACACAGGTCCGTAGTCGATTTTCTTATTTACATCCGGCCAATATTGAGTGCATTTTATCTTTAAATGAATGCAAACATCAATAACACAATACGGAAAATTCATATGCCGACACTACGTAATGTAACATTTAAAAATCATTTGATTATGGCATATTTAACGATAATTGTAGGAACGCTGATGTTGTTAATTCTTTAATCTGTTTAATCTCAATAAGAAACAGAGGAATCATAAAAAATCATTATTTTTTTCAATAAAAGAAATATACTTTTGTTCCTTCTTGCAGGTTTGTGAGCATTACGATGGAAGACACATTTTCCTGCCAAATCATTGTCCAAAAATCAACAAGTGTATTCTGCTTAGGTCCTACACAAATTAAAAATCATCAAACAACAAAATCAATGAACAGGAAATTTATTTTCTTGATACCTATAGATCTAAGAACGTCAAAAATATTTATGTCCAATACACAAGGGCTGTCAAAAACGAGGGCTGCGAAAACATGCATTTTTTATAACTAGTAAGATAATGGCAAAGTGTATGTGTAAAACTTTTCAAATGTATTCCATGATAAAATCAAAGCCATTGATCATTTTATGAACGATATCAGCATAACTATAACTATATATACTAGACGCACTAAGAAGTCGAAAAAACTTGAAGGGAAAGGAATAAAGACGTCATGAATACATGATTTTCATCACAAAAAAAAAATGATTTCAAACGTATTCTTGCATCTCAAAAATTAAACACATTTTTCGAAAACATCTCATGTTACTCGCAAATCAAGAAAAGGAAAAAAAATTCCGGCCGTACTTTTTATCGACATCGATATCTTGAACTATTATTGAATCAGATCAACACATGCTTCTCTGATAAAAGATACATTCAGATTGATACCTGACCCAGAATTCAAAGACACATTTCTTATTTTTTCCCTTCATAATGCCTCCATCCGTCTAATAATCGATACTAACAACACCAGGAAATGACAGCGGTTTTATTTACTAATAAGTAAAATTTCATTTCCTCTTGATGAAAAAGATAACAATTAAATCAATATGTTCTTAGCTATTTCAACTTTGGACTGTGCACAACTTAACCGATCTTTTAAGACAGTAATTTTATATGTAAAATGATTTTTTCTAAATGAAACAAAAAAAGTTTTGACATGCATATTCATAGAAAAATTTGGGCTTACAAAAAAACAAAACAAAAAAAAACATGTTAATAAATAAGACATGAGCAGGAATTTTAGGTATAAAGATATACACCTTGTGCTGCGATGTACTCGTTATTTCTGTGTGCACCCTGTGATAAAAGAATGCATATATCACTATCCTATTTCATAATAAGAAGGAAAGAACAAAGAAATTGCAAATTATTTGAGTGCAGGTAGGTTAAGGCTTCCCAAAGAATATAACAGTACATATTGTGGTTCACTTCTCTGAACCACCAATTTTTGACCTTATAATTGAAAATGACATCACATCACTGCAAACTTGAGCTATTATAACGGGGAGAGTGTTATTAATTTTACACCTCATTTCAAATTGCATGCAAAATATGTCAGAACGCTATGGAAAAATTGAATATATCTTCAATTGTCTTAATTGTATCTTTAAATTTTATACATCCGAATATTTAAAAATGCGCCGCGTAAGGTAGTACAGAAAAAATATGCCAAAATTGTCCTCAAATTCGATTTTGTTCAAACTTTGAAATTTTGTTCTAGGATACAAAATCTCTCTTTCAATGTAATATGAAAGAACTTCAGCAATACATTTTTTGCCTATATAGTTTGAAATATGGCCCACCAAACCCCAGTAAGAAGATTTGAAATAAGGCAGCCGACCTGAGATTAGGCGTTATTTTAAAATAATCAATTGGTCAATTGCAAACTTCGGTGATGCTATGTATAAAAGCAGAATTATTGAAATAGAATCCTGATTAAAATATGTCAAAGTGAGGAAATTTTAACCGATGGTTTCAGATATTTTTGCAATTTTAAATAAATCAAATGCAAAAAAAAAAAAAAAAAAAAAAAAAAATGTGAAGATTCAGTAGATGACGCCACTCTAAATGACATTCGACCTCTTCATATGACCTCGACCTTTATTGTACAAAAAGAATAGAGACTTCTTATATATATGTGCGAATATCAGGTCTCTACAAATAATGGATCAAAAGTTACCTTGCATTTAATAACAGATAGTCATACGGCATGTACATGACATAAACACTACCCAATATGTAGGCTCCCGAAGGACCAATTTATAGGGTGTCTCTAATTTTTCTTCAAAATATGGTGTACATATGGCACAGCTTATTATTTTTCTTACAAAAAATATTGATTATTGATATTATAGTGAAATTATTATTTTTTCTGGTGCACTTTATAAGTTATAAGGTATGCGTTAAAATAGATGTCATGGGTGTCGTGTACTACCTTAATTATCCTTGATTGAAATTCAGTGTTTCAAAATGCTTACGAAAAATATACTTGCGGAATAAACTCTCTTTAATACCCGTGGAAAGATGTAGACTTTATTATGTGTGTATAAAAGAGTCTGACACTGGCAATAAATGTGGATTAATTTTAGATATTTTGTGGAAATCTGTAAGAGTAGTTTGTTCTCTAACTGAATCTTACTTTGGAAAAATGTGTGATGCCTTTGTTTTAACACAGTTTGTGTAGAAAATACCTTCAGATGTCTCCGTAATTTGAATTTCTCAAGAAATGTTTTGTATCCAAGTAATACTATGGCTTTTCCCAAGCACATTTCGGGTACACATGGTTACGGCGAGTTTATTTATATTAAACAACATGTGTTTGTGAAACACTGACGCCCCCGTATGGCAACTTATAGCAAAGGTTAAACTTTCTCAAATGCAAATCAAATGTGTTGGTACCCAAAGTAAGGTCTTGTCTTAAGGAATATACCTGTGAAATATTCAAGCCCTAGCAGCACCTGTTCAAAAGTTATGGCCAAGGTTAAAGGTTTTTAAAAGTAATTCAAACATGAAGGTCAAGGTCAAATGGTCAAAATTAATTGTGCCTGAGGAAAGGTGAAATATGAAAGCTAAAGCACCAATCGTTCAAAAGTTATAACCAAGGTTAAAGTGTTTCAAAAGTTGGTCATACTCCAAGATCAAGGTCAATGTATTACAATTGTTGGTATCCAAAGGAAGGTCTTCTCACGAGAAAAAAGCATGTTTAATATGAAAGCCTTAGCAACAACTTTTCAAAGGTTGTGTCCAAGGTTAATGTTTTCGAAAAGTAGTTCAAAGTCCAAAGTCAAGGTCGAAGGGTCAAAGTTGTTGGTATCCAAAGGAAGGTCTTCTCACAAGGATTATATATGTGAAGTATGAAAATCCTTGCACCAACCGTTTAAAAGTTATAGCTTAGTTTTCCAAAAGCAAGTCAAACTCCAAGGTCAAGGTCAAAGGGTCAAATTTGTTGATATCCAAAATGGGTCTTGTCACAAGGATTATATATTTGAAGTATGAAAGCCCTAGCGTCAGCGATTCAAAAGTTATGGCCAAGGTTAAGGTTTTCAAAAGTAGGTCAAACTCCAACGTCAAGGTCAAAGCGTCTAAGTTGTTGGAATCCAAAGGATGGTCTTGTCACCAGAATTACATATGTGAAGAATGAAAGCCCTAGCAACAGCAGTTCAAAAGTTATGGCCAAGGTTAACGTTTTATAAAAGTAGGTCAAACTCGAAGGTCAAGGTCAAAGTGTCAGTGTTGTTGGTATCCAAAGAAATGCCTTGTCACAAGAATTACATATGCTAAGTATGAAAGCCTTAGCACTAACCGTTCAAAAGTTATGACCAATGTTAACGTTTTATAAAAGTAGGTCAAACTCGAAGGTCAAGGTCAAAGTGTCAGTGTTGTTGGTATCCAAAGAAATGCCTTGTCACAAGAATTACATATGCTAAGTATGAAAGCCTTAGCAGAAACCGTTCAAAAGTTATGGCCAATGTTAAAGTTTTACAAAAGCAGGTCAAACTCATAGGTCAAGGTCAAAATGTCAAATATGGTGGTACCCAAAGAAAGGTCTTGACACAAGGAATACACATGTGAAGTATGAAAGCCCTAGCATTAACCGTTCAAAAGTCATGGCCAAGGTTAAAGTTGGGAAAAATTTTGCAAAACTGGGTCAAACTTCAAGGTCAAGGTCAAAAGGCCAAATATAGTGGTACCCAAAGAAAGGTCTTGTCACAAGGAATACACATGTGAAATATGAAAACCATAGCTTTAACCAATCAAAAGTTATGGGCAATGTTAAAGTTTTTGCAGACAAACAGACAGACGGATGGACAGGGCAGAAACTATATATCCCCGAATCTTCGATACGGGGGCATAATAAAAGTCAATAATAATTGTGTAAATCAGCTGTGCCGACGCGATTTACATGGAACACTCCATAAAATTGTAAATGAAGTCATCTGATCAAGAAAGTCATGTGATATCATAACAATTGTTAATGTATAGCGTATGCATGTATATGTATGTATTTGAGAAACTTCTATATATATTGGCTATACCTAAGTTCATAACTAACAAATTAAAATAAAAGCAAACCTCGCAATACAATATTATGTTTAAACGCATTTTAAAGCTCCGGGAAGCCTTAACATAGCTACAAGGGTTTGGAACTGAAAAAAAAAATGTTTTTCATTGTCATAAGCATATCAGAATATTAATATCATTCCACTCTTGAAATAACGTCACTGTATAAAACATGGTTATTTTTTCTTTGATGTATGTCAGTGTTTACCTCGATATAGTTAGCATTTATGTAGCCTGATGCCGACTCGGTTCTCAGTATAACTCTTGAATGGTCATCTTAATAATAAAAAAAAACAGTTACCATAGTTATGAAATCTTTTATAAGGCAAAACGTAAGAACTATTGAATGACTATTACATAGAATCATACCTCGTACCTCGAACTGCAAGGGTCGGGAAACGTTTCATTGCTATCGGGAAGTTCGAGATATCGAGGTTAAAATGCAATCAGAAGATAGTGGTCAGCTCGACATATTCATGATATTAGAGATATCAGTGTACAAGATACCGGTGATAAACGGTATATAAAAATATGGCGTTCAGACAATATATTTTTAAGTTTTCATTATCATGTTGTGCAATCATAAATAACTTTCTCTTTCAAGGACATAAATCCTAATTCTGAATTTCGATACTTACAAGGAAATGTGGTCTTATATCTATTTTTAACCATATTTTCCTCACTTTTTCCTTCGTCACAGTTATATAGTTCCCCGTATGGCAGTGTCTGCAACAGTGACTAATATATACTAAATGCTTATACATAAATTACAGTGTCAATATGTATTGATATGGAATTGAAGGGGTTGAAATATATATATAGAACCATTGTTTCAAGTATTTTTTTTTTTTTTTTTTTTTTTTGGTTTTTGTTTTTGTTTTCTTTTTTGCATGATATTGCATTAAATGTTTGTTCATCATATCATAAGAAAGATTTTGCTTCTTGCTAACCGCATATTCTCTCTGAAACCCGTCATCTTCATTCATTCTTTTCTCGGCAATAACTGAATCAAGCTGGTTCAAAGGTATATCAACAACTGTATTCTCATTTGCGTAAAAGTCTCCATAAGGATTCTCCAAATGAATTAACTCATCTTCATCCACATCGACCTCCTCAACCTTCTTCTGATGTTTCCTTAGTTTTTCATTTTTTGTTATTTTGCTTGCTTGGCTAGATGATGATGCAAGATTTGAATCGATGCTAGCGGTGCCTGTTTCAGACTTTTTCTTTTTTGCTAAAACAATACATCAATGGTAGAAACAATGCACGTTATCAAAACCGTTTACCATCCATAATCTATGTAAGGACTTGTACTTAAATAAAGGAGCTGTGGCACGTAATGTATTAGAATTTGTATGATAAAAGTTTTTGATATTGTTGACTCAAATGAGACAAAAATTGGTCGCTATGTTTCACAGTTACAATGGTAATATTCCTTTAAGTTTAAAACTTGTATTTTTGAATATGTTCAGCATCCCATCGTTACGCGGGTATGTTAAGGTTAAAACAGATATTTTACTCGTCTATACAATATGACGTATTAGTAAGCTATAAAACTTAAGTTTAAGAAAGAATGATTTTTTTAATATCTATAATAGAAGATTAATTTGAAGTCCTGAAAATGAATGGAGACATGTACAGGATTAAAGTAGTAACTAAATCTTGACATTTTTGGATATTAGAAAAATAAAATATTTTTCACGGAGGTTACATACCTAACCCATGACGTCATGAATGTTTATCATATACTTGTGGAGTGAAAATTAAACGCAAGGAGAATCAATGTAAAAATGATATGAATGGGGATTAAAACATACAATGTATACCTTGAATATCATGACTTATTGTGTGATTCATGGGGAATTATAAAGTATACAAATGGAGAGCACTGATTTATTTTCATCATGTTTTATTATAATGAATACAAGAAGTGTTTCGAAATCCCGATAAGGTTTAGATTTGTGTGTCATCCTTAATAACAAGAACTTAAAAATTCAACACTTTGCCACATACTTTGAGTCTTAGTTTTTTTCCATATCGAAAGCATTGTTCGATAATACTTGTAAAGTGCTGTAAGAATCGTATGGTTAACTTGAATTGATGAAAATTATTCCATCGAATGTACATAATATAATTTTTTGGTAAGGATTCAATCGAAAATGTTGAATGGATATTTAGGTGACGGGGAAAAAATTATCACCATTTTTCGTGCCCCAGAAATATTTTTACCTAATTATTTGAACTAACAGAAATAGAACTGAACTAGAGCCGAGCTCGTTGCAATGCAACGAATAGGTCTTCCGTCGGAGCTCCGGACAGGAGAGAGCGACCTTGAGTCAAGGTCATGCAACATTTTAAGGTTATAAACAATCCTGTAAGGGGCATCAACTTTCAATGTTTCAACAGTAGAAAGACAGTAAAGGAATGTAAAATTCCCCTGTCAGTGAACTTGAACTTGTCCAAATAACTTTGCGTCAAGCCATGACACATTCTGCAGCTGGTTAAGAGCAAACACCATCTTTATGTCGCCGACATAAAAAAAAATCACAGTCACGTATTCTTTCAGACTATTCATCCAAAACATCATATTCTAAGTGACCTCGAATTTAAGTCAAGGCCATTACACACTCTGGATGATATATTTATCATCTTTTCAGTGAAATGCAAATGCATGCAACTTTTTCTATTACAAAAGTATAGACCTTTTTAAAAAGTTTATTTGTTTGTATGTTGTTTAACGTCCCTTTCGAGAATTTTTCAATCATATGGAGACGCCACCATTTGCCGATGGAGATCTGCAAATTTTGACCTATACTCGGCACACATGGCCATTTAGCAGTGAGGGATCTTTTTCGTGCCAGCACCTACTGCCAGACGGGACCTCAGTTTGTACGGTCTCATCCGAAGGATCAGTCTCTGCGTCCCACAGTGGGATTCGAACCTGCGACGTAAGGATCAACTCCATAATCCACGACTCTAGAGCAGACACTCTTACCACTGCGCCACTTGGGCGACTAGACCTTTTTGAATTTTACACTTATTATATCAGTGACCTTGAACTTGCCTAAATGACCTACGTTAAGGTCAAAAACAACCTTTGAACAAATTATGAGCTTCCAGTGATACCCAATGACAAAGATATACCTGAAAAAGAATATTGCACTTTTCTGTCAGTGACCTTGAACTTGCCAGAAAGACCTTGGATCAAGGTCAAAACACATTCTTGGATCATAAGCAATATTAAGTAAAAGCTTCCAGTGATTTTATATAACAAAGTTATAGCATGTGGAAAAAAAATAATATTTATCTGCCAGTGACCTTGAACTTGCCGAAAAAACCTTTGTTCAAGGTCAGGAAAACCCATCTCAAGCAATCTGAGAAAAAGTTTCCTGTGATCCTCCCACCCCTTATAAATTTATAATCCAGGCACGAATTTTGCCACTTCTTCTGCCAGTCTAGTACTGTTATCTCAAACCGGTGGATCATAAGCAATCTTTGTTCCAAGTATGAGCTTCAAAAGTTACAACATATACAGTAATCTAACAGTTTTCTGTCAGTGACCTTGAACTTACAGGAATGACCTTGGATGAAAGTCGTGTCAAACCCTTTAATTTTCTCATAAGCAATTTCTGTATCAAGTATGATACTTGCTATTTTTTTCCAATGACCTTGAACTTGCTGGAATAATGTTGGATCAAAACCATGACACACCTTCGGATCATTAGTAATCTTTGTACCAAGTATGACCTTCCAGTTTCTTCATAACAAAGTTATAATATCCTTGGCGAACTATCACGTACAGACGGACAGCTAGGCAGACGGACAGTGTGATTCCAAAAGACTCAAAACACCCCCACCCCAAACCCACACACTTCGTTTGGGGGGATATATAAATTCCTTTGTTAAATTATGAAAACTCTTTCCAGCCCAAACCTTCTCCCTGGAATCAATATTTGAAAAAAAAATGAATGTATGCTATGTTGGAAATTTTCTCATTCTAGTCCAGGGATTCTTGAGAATACTATTTTCAAATGACCCCATGGGCGGATCTAGAGGGACTTGGGGCAGTTAAATGTATATACTAAACAAGAGGCCCATGGGCCACATCGCTCACCTGAGTAACTTCCACATAAGTTTCAGCTTTTCTGGCCCAGTGGTTCTTTTGAAGAAGATTTTTAAAGATTTTTCCTATATATTTCAATGTAAAACTTGTATTCCCTATTGTGGCATCGCCCTACCCCCAGGGGTCGTGATTTGAACAATTTAGAATCTACATTACCCCAGGATGCTTCCACATAAGTTTCAGCTTTTCTGGCCCAGTGGTTCTTGAGAAGAAGATTTTAAAGATTTTGCCTATATATTTCAATGTAAAACTTGGATTCCCTATTGTGGCCCCGCCCTACCCCCGGGGATCATGACTTTAACAATTTAGAATTTTCACTATCCCAGGATGCTTCCACGTAAGTTTCAGCTTTTCTGGCTCAGTGGTTCTTGAGAAGAAGATTTTTTAATGACCCCACCCTATTTTTGTCTTTTCTTGATTATCTCTCCTTGTAAGGGGACTTGGTCCTTTATTTTAAAAATTTAATTTCCCCTTCCCCCAAGGATACTTTGTACCAAGTTTGGTCAAAATTGGCCCAGTGGTTCTTGAGAAGAAGTTGAAAATGTGAAAAGTTTACAGACGGACGGACGGACAGACAGACGGACGGACGACGGGTGATCAGAAAAGCTCACTTGAGCTTTCAGCTCAGGTGAGCTAACAAGTAAAACTGACCATGCCCCCCCCCCCCTTAGAAAACACGGACCATTCCTCGAAAACGCGGATTTGTGTTAAAATGGTATGAAAAGTCTTAGGTATGAAGCTTTAAAAGTCAACGACCCCCCCCCCCCCCTTCCCCCATACACACACACAAACACACACACGAAATAGTTTTTTCACGTTTGGGAAAAGAGTTTCTTTTTTTGGCTCGTCAAGAAATTTCTGGGTTGAAATATTTTTTTGTATTGGGATCCCCTCCCCCCCCCCCCTCCGTGGAAAAAAATTCCTTGATCTGCGCCTGGACCCCATCTAATTTTTTCTACATGTATCCGTTAAAAGAGGATGTGACCCTTCATTTGTACAAAACTTTACCAAAAATATTCTGTGTTAATTTTCGTTGTTATGGTCCAGTGGTTCTTGATAAGATAAAAATGAGAAAAATTTACGAGTAGCTTTAGAACAACTACAACGATAATGCTTATATACACCAATATAGCAAACAAAGATGAAGAATTATGAACAGCAAAAGCTTACTTGGGTCTTTGGCTTGGGAGATGAGATACTTATTAAAAATTGAAATTATTTTGTCATTTTTTTTACAATCGACGGGCCTGCATTTCAAAGAGAGAGAGAGAGAATTTCTAGCTA